TTGGATTTATTAACTTTTAGCCAATAAAAACAAATAAGTGAGGAGTGCTAGTAGACACAAAGTGTTCTTAATGGCATGAGTTTTCCTTAGGTTATGCAGCAGACTGGGCCCTGCATCATACGGACATGCAGGAGCAAACTTTGGCGTGGGTTAACTTTTTATCGCCTACTCCACCATAACAGTCCATATACCAGGTGTGGTCGATGTGAAATAATTCAGGGCAGTTTCCTCCATAGTAAACTTACCCTGGGACAGGAAAATGAAACAGAGTTACCAAAATAATGTAAATCTGTATTTTTTATCACATTAGGTTTTTGTAATCGTACCCCAAATCATGCAGGCACTCTGAAGAACTGACTATTTTACTCCTTAAAAAAGTTGGAACAGGAACAACTGGTGATTTGAGGTGGTTTAATGGAGCTCCCAACCAGCACCAGAAAGTCGTGCCTTCTTCAAGTACTTCAGTTTCAGCAACAGAATCTGTAGAGCCCCTAAGCCACTTACCACTTCTGAAAAACTTGGCTTATGGCTGTGTCATTTTTCCAGCCTCTTCAGCTTTCCTGTGATTTCTAAAGTGACCATTTCCCGTCATTTCAAATTAGCCCATTAAATACGTGAAAAACATGGACCTGTTGGAGCGGGTCCAGAGGAGGCCTCAAAACTGATCAGAGGGCTGGAACATCTCAGCTGTGAGGCCAGGCTGAGCGAGCTGGGGTTGTTCAGCCTGGAGCAGAGAAGGCTCTGGGAAGACCCGACTGCCCCTTCCAGTACTTAAAGGGGGCCTATAGGAAAGATGGGGACAGACTTTTCAGCAGGGCCTGTTGCGATAAGACAAGGGGTAACGGTTTTAAACTAAAAGAGGGTAGTTTTAGACTAGATATCAGGAAGATATTTTTCCCAGTGAGGGTGGTGAAACCCTGGCCCAGGTTGCCCAGAGAGGTGGTAGATGCCCCATCCCTGGGAACATCCCAGGTTGGGTTGGACGGGGCTCTGAGCAACCTGCTCGAGCTGAAGATGTCCCTGCTCACTGCAGACTTTAAATATCCCTTCCAACCCAAACTATTCTCTGATTCTAAACAAGTAGTAAGATCTTTGCAGTTCTTGCTACCACTTGGGTAAGCTTCAAACAGAACACGGTGGACGCGCGTACATGGAGTCACACAGTACCTCAGGTTTAAACCAGCTTCAGACTAGTTGGTTTAAGTGCCTGGAGCTGCCTGGGCTTAAAACCACTGAGAGCAGCACGGGCTACTTTATCCCACTGCAAATGCCCTACGGTTCCTCTCACAGAAGAGGAGGTTTAACTTCTTATTATTCCGCTGACCTGATGAAGCTCTTTAAACTTTTACACTCTAATCTCCCAGATTAATTTCCACTAGCAAATGACATACTAAAAAAATGAAGAGGAAATCTGGGCTGTCACTATTACCATTGCTTTAAATGTTTTATTTGTATGGGACATTCTGTACAAGACAAAGTTAAATATACATTTTGTACAAAGGTGACATATATGACACCTTACCAAAATAGTAACTCTGCTTACATATTCATCTATATACACAATACGCCATGTCTGTTGTTAGCTAAGGGGTCAATTTTCAGCAGACTGTGTATTTTTTTATGCCATAGAAGAAATGAGAATGAAATTAAGACATCATGCAGACCAAGTGCCAATGTCACCGGTGTCTTTGAATGCTCAATTATCAAATGGTTGCTGTTTTGTTCATTTCAGGAAGTCACATTCATTGGTCAATGAAAAAGAAAATGAGAAACAATGAAGAGGAAAACGTAATTAAAAAAAATAGATGCATGCTGCTGGAACAGGATATGTTTCTACACAGATCTGTGCAAAGGTTTTTGCATTGCTTTGTTACATTTTGCATTGCCTTGTCTGATTGACTCAAAAAGCCCTGTAATGACTTAAAGGAATTAAAAATTCTGGTGCTTTGTGCAGAGTAAAACTATGCATGCAGACAGTGATCAAGGTAATGTTCTCGTGTTTTTCTGAGACCTAGATCTAGATTCATGTTCTGGTTGCACATTTCTTCCTGATGAAAGGATCCCCTAGCAAATCTCAAGAGCCACCTCTTCCTTAGTAAGGACAGTGCCACTAAATCCTGGCGAAGGAAGATACTGCTGTTAGGCTCCAGGAGCAAGGATGGTGGAAGGAGGTTAGCAATGCTGAAGTTGTCCGTGCTCCAGCTTGGTGGAATTACCCTACACAGGTGGCGGTTTGGTGAAGTGGTCCAAGTGCTTTATTTCTGCCTTTGCGAGTGAGGGCACAGGTGATTCCGGAGTGAGTTCATCTTTAATAGATGACAGGTGGACAATGGACTTTGCAGAACAAATATATGTGGACACAATGATAGATAACAGGTAAGAAAGATGTATCACTGAGGTTCTGTTGTCATAGAAATTAAGTTTCAACAAAAATACTTTCCATATCCAGTGATGAAGGAGTCTGCGAGTTCTTTGCAGCCTGTTTTAGAAAGAGAGTCACAGTTCAGAGACTCTCCTCATCTTCATTTACCCTCCAAGATAAACCATAAAACACACGCTATTTCCAATCCCTATTAGCTAATCTATACTCTTTCTTGTACCCTGAAAAATCCTTACATCTTCACTGGTGAAATCCGTTTGAGGCAATCCTCTTGGGCTCCCTTTATACTCAATCATCCCACAGTCTGGAGCACAGTTCTTCTCATCCTAGAGCAAAGATACATCACACCCTGATATCCACCCTCTTCTGAATAGAGGAGAACAGCTCCTCTGAACACACCTGCACTGCAGACATCCATATTTTAGACAGATGAAATCTGACCTGTCACAAAGCAGCTCCCTTCTTTCCAAAATGAATGCTTATCTTTGCTGCTCTTCTGTCAGGGAGTGGGAGGTTATCTCCAAACTGACATACTTAAAAGCAGTCCTTTAAAGTAAATGGTGTAGGTTTACTAGACTGGAAAATAGAGAAAGGGATTTTTTTGTTAAACCTGGTTCCAAAAATCTTCCACCATTTTTCATCTCCACGCTACTCTCTGTCCAAATGCATTCTGCAAAAAATCTTATTTTGCATTGCAGATGCTCTGTGAGTGTAGGTGGAAAAATCAAACTATATTTGCTTCATAAAACTAAGCGTAGACTAGAGTTCATAGAAATTTCAAGAGGAACAAAGGCTTTGAATCTGGGATATTTTGACTGTTTGGGATCTCCCACTCCCAGAAACGCTGAAGCTCACAGTGAGGCAAGTTCTTCCTATGAAACTGGAGTGCTTGAAGTATGGATGATGAGTGTATCTTAAAGGCAGTATTGAGCCCACCTACAGCTGACAGTACAAATATATCCCTATATACACAAAGAAGAAAGGGTTTGCCAGACGCCGGTAACATTCCTGTAGCAGAGCCAGGAGTGCGCTCAGATCTGATTCTGCCTGTGCCTCAGAGTCTGAATGGGAGATCTTAATCTCACAAAGTTTAAAGAAGTTTGCCTATCTCTCTGCTCTAAACCAAACCAACTACATTACACTGAACTAAATAAAATTAAAAACTGAAACTTTGAGATGCTTTACTGCATGTAGATAGTTTGATGTGAATGGAAAGCTAAGGGAGAGACAGATGTTCATTCAAACACTATATAAACCTTTCTGGTACTCCGTTATGTCTTATATTCAGGTTGGCTTCCAAATGTAACTTAAATGCTAATTCCCCAAGATTTGTATTTGCATAGTCAGTTTGGTATCTCCACACTACACACAGTAGGACATGGAATTTCTGTTGGAAATTGATTTTGGAAAGAGCTACTACTTTATCAGCACTCAGAGGAGTTTGCATACTGACTAGGAAGAAGGTGCTATGATAAATATCAGAAAGGAAAAGTTCTTTATTAAACTCTCATGAAATATTCACTCTCAAGAGAGAGGAATAATTCTAGAAATTTATCTGCCTTTTTTCCAAGGCATTTTTTCCAATCTTCAGTTCAGTAACTTGTTCCAATTTTGGTAAAGTGTTGCCAAAATATGTCACTTAAAGAATTCATTTCAGAATGCATGCTGCTGTTTCAGTACCTCGTGATACATCTCCAGAGTACATAATTTCAGTACATGCACTTTTTTTAGTAATGAAAAACGGTATCTATCACAGATATTCACCATTTAAATTTCAAACCCAACAGCTCTTCTGTTTTCTTGTAATTATGAAGAAGCAAACCACATATCTTGTTTGTCCCTTTGGTGTAAATAAATCATAGTGTATAAGTAGTTACAATGGTATAAATGTAAAGATACTGATACAGCTTTCTCTCATCCGAAAAGAAAAATGAGCTACATCAGTGTGAGACACTGTTACACACCAGTTGCACCCAGTATAAGGAATGTACTAGTGTTATTATTCTCGTAACACAAAAGCACAACCCTTAGTGCAAATTTTATGACAAACGAATTTTGTATAGGTCAGCCTTTATCTGCAAAGCCCATATGGTTACCAATCTGTTTAGTGCAAAACGAGACTTACTAATATCAGGTAAAGAAGTAAATATGTATTTCCTGGATGATATTTTATACTTGCACTGGAGTTTTGTAGGTGAAGAACTAGGCAGTACAGAGAAGGCATATACAATGACAGAAATCTGGGTTCAGCGTCTTTCATCACATTTTTTGAAACAATTGCAGGATACAGAGTGGATCCAGAAAAAGACCTCAAGGGGACGTTGACAACTTCACTGCTTCATCTGTAACCTTGATTTGGTGGTGGAAACTCAGTCTACTCTCAGAAGCTGTATGTTAAAGGCAGTGACAAGGAATTTACGTAAGTGTTGTTTATATTATAAGCAAAATATCTGAAGCACAAGGTAATTGAGGTGCAACTCTCCCAGCCTGCAAATCATGTCATTCTTCCTCATCGTAAACTGCACAACTGTTGTCCTATTTCCTGTATTGGTGGGAATCGGAATGTGCTAATTCAGTTATTTCCTTTTTGTCTTTACAAATAAAGTGCAGGTCAGGTCAGTCACAAGATTGGTTCTGTGCCATTCCAGTCAATAACAGCTCCTTGCCACCTAGAAATGAAAGCAATCATTTTACTCCATCAGTTAATCAAGTCATGGGAAAGGTAACCCAACACTCCTCAACCACCCAAAGAACCTTAGAGAGACTAGGATGGACTCATTTGGGGTAACTAACCACATCTTCTCAAAGGGAAAGGAACAAAGTGAGGTACTTGTGCCTCCTAAGTTCATGTGCCAAAGTTTAGAGGTCAATCTCCTTACCCTTCCTCCAGTCGCTTCTAGGCAAGAGTCCTCAGCAGCAGCTGACTCAGAACAAGTACCTTTGTGTTGCAAAGACTGTAGGGAATCCCCAAGAACCTGATCTAGTTGAAGATGTCCCTGCTCACTGCAGGGGGGTTGGACTAGATGACCTTAAAAGGTCCCTTCCAACCCAAACTATTCCATGATTCTATGGGTACAAGAATTAACCCTATATAACCAGAATGCTCGGTCTCAGCTGTTACAAGGACATTTGCACACTCTCATACAGGGAGGCCTCTGATTAGGAGCTCTGTGACTCTCAGATCCTAAGAACCAGATCATTGCATTTAGCAGTTATCTTTGTTCCTGGCCCTGGTTCCTCTGAAGTATCCAATGGCTCACTTTAATGGCAATGTTTTGCTTTTCTTGTGCAGAGGTTTTGTTTTTTCTCTGCCTTCACTCTTTCTTCAGAATAACACTAGACATGTATACTAAGAACAATGTTTCTGAATGAGTCCGTATGCATGTGCACAAACACCTCCCATGTTTTTAACTCTCGTCTCTGTATTGGCTGCTACTGCTCAGCTGCCCACTCCAGGAGTGTGACCAACTCTGAATGCAAAGAAGGTATCGATCCTGCATTTGTCACCAGACGTGTCTTCAAATCACGGCAGAAGACAAAGATCTGAACCAAGACTCGGTGAAATCAGGATGATGCTCTCCAGTGACCTCACTGGGTTGAGGTGAGTCATCTTACTGTACAGCCAGAGTCATTCACTGCATGAATTGCACCCTTGTCTGTGGCATTCCTCACATTTGCAAGGTCATGGTCCAGATCTTCTAAGAAATAAACTATTGCATTCCCAGTGTCAAGTATTTATATCTGTTTTGAAAATCTGTCTCAGAGTGCATGTGCACAGTAGTTAAGACATTGACGAAGGGCTGGAGACAACAATGAGTTGCCAGAGTGCCACATTCTTTCTGTCACCGAGGAAAGGATGTGTCAGCAAGGGTATGGCAGCTCAGTCCTTTTGCTGAGCAAGTCAATTAAGTGTAAAACAAAACCAAAAGCTCAATTCACGCAGTATTCAGTGCAAAGACTAAAGGGAAGTGACCATATGAGGGCTGTTGTGAATTTTTTCCTTCTTTTTTTTATTTTGTTGAGAAAATAAAAATTAAAAACTTGCAGAAAGGCTGTCCTCATACCAGGACTTAGTAGGAATACACAACAGTGATGCCTCACATCTTAAGCTAAAAGCAGAATATGTTCTAGCTGGTAATATTCTTCCTAGTCTGGCATTCACCGGTGGGGAGAGCTGTCCCTGCCAGAGGTTCAGAATATCACCCCCAGAACAACCAAATGCAAGTGAGAAGCATAATTGCTACCTTCTGTCTCCATTGGATTTTTCAGGTAATGCCATCAAATCATCCTTTACCCTTGTGTACAATCTTCCCAAGGCACCACCTTCTACCTCATCAGGGTAATTAAAGCTTTGAGAGGGCTCCACTGAGACCCCACAGAGGCCAAAAGACACTGAATGAAATCTGCTCTGAGACTACACTGTTCTCTGTGAAAATACACATCATGTGCTGACACCATTTTTGCAGTTATGGCTTAAGATGTTGCTAATCACTATGCAGTGAGGAACTGCCTTTTTCACAAAAAGCTTTTAAGAAAGAGCTTAAACAGAAAATGAAATTTTGAAGCAGGACTCAAGGTAACTTTCATAACAACCCTTATCTCCTGTGTTTATTTTCAAACCATTTTTGCTGAGCTGTTTGTAGATTGAAAAACAGTCTTTGGCTGTTTGCTCCTATGGAGACGGATTCAAAACTTTTTTCACCAATTGCATCTGCACAAGAAAAGGTGTCAGATAGGGAGGAACCTCACTGACAGGTGCTGAACAAGTATCTTTCTTTACAAAATTGTCCAGACATTGCAGCGTGATCATTTCCCCAAACTATCCTGCCACAATGTAATTCAAATGCAACCCAGATTCTACCTGCTGATTCAATTATAAATTATCAGATTAGCAACGTGAAAACTACATTTGACTCATCTGGTTCAACTACAACCTCACCCATGGGTCATGGATTTAACGGGAACCCAAGCGGAACTGGTTCAGGCCCTGAACAATGCTCAGTCTGGAATAACATTCAGAAAGTATCTCCTGTACTAATCATTTGGTATTGTTTTAGAGCATACCAATAATTCAGGATGAAATGCCCATGCTCTCTTCTTATCCACTAAATTTCCACTGGATGTCTCACTTCAAACAGATGAACTAATGTATCATACATCCCCACTATCAGAGAGGAAAGCTGATACTGGAGGGTTAACAAAATATACCACTGGATTCAGATTATAATATTAGACCAAAGTTTTCTTCCCCTCAGGCAGAGCTAACAGATGTTATTTCCACCAGTGCAGAGAGACGCCAAGGATCATGACTGTGATATAAGAGTATTCTTCAGGGAAGAATGGGATAAGACGTCTGCACGGCATCTCCCAAACAACCCAGGGATGCACATTCCAGACATCTCTTGGTCAGAATTTGACTGCTTCTACAGATGTCTAGAGCTGAAAGCCACAATAAAAGCGCAGGTACTTGTACTGACTCTTTGGCTGGGAGTCTGCACGTTACAATGATACCTTTGGGTGACTAGTCGGTCTAGTCACGTGAGTGCTACCTGCTCTAAACTCAAATCTCATTCTTCTGACATTTTATAGAATAGGGACTAAAAACATGAGCCTCCTCATCCTGCAGAAGCAAAACAACCCTTCTCCTCTGATAATAATAATAACAAAAAAAAACTAAATACAGAAACAGTCTGTTACATATGCAGTTTTCCCTCTGGGATAGGATAAGAGAACAAACAGCAGACAGATGTTAGGCATATAACTCAGTGCATTACAGGATGATGGTGTTCAGATATTGGGGTACATTTGACCCGTCTGTAAGGGGGGTCATTTGAGCCATCTCTAATGGTTAAGGCTTTTCACAGATTAAAACAGAACTGAGTTAACCTTCTCTGTTCTGATTGTTCAGACTGTGAAATTCTCCACACTGCCTGAGAAATTATCCTGCATTTTTTTATGAGAAAGGTTTGATAAGGAGCTTCATGATGAATGCTGGGTCAAAATAAGTAACAACTCTTTGCTTGTTTGCTTACTTTACTAAAAATCAGCTTAGGAGTGTTTTCCATGGTTGTATGATGGAAAACATTTACTTTTTTACCTCCCAATTTGTTAAAATTATGGTTAGCTTGGTTTGTTTTTACTTTTCCTTGTATACTGTTTCACAGTTGGAAGAAAAAGTTCTTAAAACAAAAAGGAAAAATATAACATGAAAAACCTTTATCAGTAAGGCCATGCTTAAATAAATAGGCTCAGAGAAAATGGAGAATACTGGAAACAAGAAGCCAGACTGATCAGGGTAAATCAGACAGTCCTGAGAATGGTACCAACAAAATAAATTGACACTGGAATTTGTTGGCAATTTACTTCTCCAGTAGATTAAAGCAGGGAATTTAAAACAAACAAACATCACCATTACAAAAACTGTTTAACTTTGATACAAGGCCAGGAATGGAAGATCTTCTAAGAGCAACTTTAAGTAGCTGCACGCATTATTCACCCTCACTGGGTGGGTTTCTGAGGCTATGTATTATTTATTTTAGTTTGTAGTCATGCTAATGTGTCACTAGGACAGAGGAATTGGTACAATCTATATGTGCAGGGAGCCTGGACTAATGTCACTGCTGTCATGTTACAAGGCATCTCTTCTACTTTTCTGGAACTTTATAATGGCAACCCTGCGTGAACACGCTGTTTGGCAGTCATTGTCATTTTTTTTTTTTTTTGGTGTTTTCTTACAGGACAAATTGTGGCAAGGAAAGGAGGCCAATTACAAGAGAAATCTGAAGCTGCTTGGCTTGCTGATTTAATACATGTTACGGTCTTTGACAATGAGGCTTTTACTTCTTGCTCCAAAGATATGCAGATAGCAGCTTTCAAAGTCATGCTGCTGGAGTTGATATAAGGCTGATTTTTCTACCCAGTTAAATTTCTCTATTTTTCTTCTTTCGTGTCTCACTAAACTGAAAATGTTCTTGTTAATTTTAATATGACTTGTATAAATTACTTAGAAGTCCATCATTTAATATCATATAGACCTTAAAATGGCCATGAAAATCCTAACATGACAGGAACTAGCCTTACATTTAAGGAGAGAATATGACCTAAGAACTGTCAAGAATGACTTCACAAAACACCATGTTTTGTGACCTTGAGAAACTCTGTGCTGCCCATAGACACATGGAAAGCTTGAGAAAACTGAGGCTGTTGAGCACAGGGCTTCATGCATCAAGAATGGTACCCAAGTCCCCCAGTGCAATTATATTTTTCAGAAAAGACTGATGAAGATTGAAAAAATTTTCTCCTTTTCTCATTATACTTCTACTATACGAATCAATCGCTTCTGGGAATCTAAATGTACATCTATTGAAATCAAGTTGTGCTCTCAAACTGAACTTGTCTCAGTCAGTTCTTGGTGATGTAATGAAGGCTCCTCTAAGAATGAAGTGGACATCTTAGTCAGCTTGATGTTAAATACAATAACAGACAATTAAATGTGTAATACTTAATATCACAACCTGGCCTATTTAGATCCTTTCTGGTTTTTAAGCAGTAATTTTGCAAGATTACTTGCTGTAATATTTTTTACCACATTCCAGCCTTACATATATTATTTATATCAGGAACTCAATTTATCTGTATGAAAAACTGTAGTTTCACTTACTTTGTCCTAATACAGTGCTCAAGTGGAGGAGTAAGATCATTTTCTTTATCTTCAGTGCACATCTGAGTTGTGTCTGCAGAGACATATCAGACATGATTAGTGGCTGGAGTATATTTTATTCATACAGAATACCGCAGTAGCTTCTAGGAACCCCACCCGTAGAAGTGACAGACTGCCACTCACACTGCAAATCCCCTAGCCCACAACAGGCACGTACCCACTTCGGATTGAAACACCTTGGAAGATGAGCACTTGAATACCATCTCATGCCCTCGTTCACACCATCTGAACAGAGTGGCTCCAAACAGGGCCTGGAATGCTCGGAGTAGATAGCACGACTACAGCTCTTTGCAAATAGCATGGGCTTTACAGCTGACCTTAGAGTGGACAGTCTGGCAGTCGCTGCTTTGCCATCTCTTAAATGCTTTTAGCTCATAGTCTACTGTTCATGTGATGGCAAGCTAAAAGCTGAAAAGGGGTGACAACGCAAACTTGCTCTTGCAAATGATCCCCAGATTGTGCCCAGTATTAGTTGTTCTGGGCCAGAAACTTGCCCAAATTGTGCTGACTACTTAACGGTAAGGATGATTGTGGGACAGTGTTCATACTCATGCTCTGACTCAGGTTAGTTTACTAACATGGAGATGATTTCAAGGAAAAACATGGATTAGAAGGAAAAACATGGATTAGAAGGTGAAAGAATGTCCTGGAGGGCCATCATGAGGTTTTTATTTTGCAATTGATGTTGCAATTACTAAGAAACCCATTTTTGATACTCAAACACTAAGGACAGTGGTAGTCCTACACTTGAATAGGAAACCCCAAGTCCAGTCCAAACTGGGATAAGAATTTTTCACCCTGGAAGAGAAGATTATCCCTTGACTGTTGAGAAGGTAATGCACAGACAGGAGAAGACGATGTTGTGCTGGATATGAGAGCTATCACAGGCTGTGAGCATTGCCTCGGGGAGGAAAGGCAATTGCGCTGTTCTGGAGAAAACAGAGAGGTCAGTGTCTCAGACACTGGATCTGTCAACAGTGAAAGTAGTCGCTGAACTTCCCAGGGAGAAAACATCCTGCGACCAGCTTGGATGTCAGTCTGCTCAGCTGTTTCCTGTTTTGGAGTAAAACATTTTAAACTGCAGCAGAGTAGGGTTTTTTCTTTTTCTTCTTTTCTGTCTGTCATCCAGCCAACGGGTAGGTTGCAAGCAACAAATGATGCCAAGACAGGGTGTAGGATATGAGTCTGCTTCAGTGACACTGATGTAGACAGGATGGGAGGCAATTGCCCTTACATTCACAGCTGCCAGTCTCAGATATATCTGTCTTCCTCATGTCATCAAGAGAACCTGGCTCTCCCTGGCTTGTTGATCTTGTCGGTATAAATACATGCAGAAAATTCTGAATAACTGTAAGGGCTGGAGTAGTAGGAAATGAACAATATTTAAAAGTACATAAAGTACTGGTAGTTTTCTCCTAGATCCTCAGGAACCTAGACATATACAGGAATCTTTTAAGCTTCAAAGGACCTCTTTTATCCTAATATTGAAGGGTTTATAATGGTTCAGGTTTATAATGGTTCATTAGAGGTCTCCAATAGTATTTGGACCCCTCTAGGAATTCCTGATACTGATGTTCTGGATCTTCTCATAGTGAGAAGCAACAGCCACCGTCTTGACCATAGTACTGGTAGCAGGATATGGCATGGCTGCCTTTCCCAGTCATTGACAACTTGCTGAATTTCATAATTTTTAGACTTGAGTTCCTCCAACCAGGAGGTCTGAATGGAAGTTTTTCATACAAAGGAATAGGAAAAACAGTATCACTAAAGGTGTATCTTAGAGTGGCAGGCAAGGATCATTTAGCTAAGTTAATTAACCAACAAACTGTGTTAAAATGTTTCATACAACTCATTTGGAGCAAGCAATATTGAAGTTACACTCTTCCATCTTGGAGCCACCAACAGAAAGAAGGACATGAATATGATCTCTTACGTCTTCACTTATATTCTAAGCTAAGGGTAATGAGAAACTGAGTGCCAGAACAATTACAGACAAACCTGCTATTCAGGAGATATGATAAGCATGGGTTCAGAAGAATGGAATCCAAACAGACAATCACTGAGAGAATAAACCCTGCTCATAATTTAAACGGCAACGTTAGGAAGTGATGTTTTATTACTTACCTTTCCAGAAGACTTTTGCACATTGGAACAATCTCATCTTAAACTGTGTGAAAAAACTCTTCTGAAAGTGTCATAACCAATACACCAGCCTTCCCTAGAAGCTGCCTCCGGTATCTGAACCTCTGCTAATTTCACTGCTTGTGCTACCTCCTGTGGGATCTGCAAAGGGGCTCAGGATGGTGTCTATGACTCTGGAAGAATCTTCCAAGAAATTCAGTTACATTCTTCTTAGCGATTACTCAGCTGCTTTTTGAAAACACCTCTAAAAGGATACTGAGTTGAAGGTATGCACCAATGAGATATAAGAATGATTTATTAAAACAGACCGTACAAGAATTCCCTATATTTTTACTTGGAGACAACATATTGTAAATGTTAACATAGATAGGTGTTAACTGTATATATTAGAAAGGAGGATCAGTATCTCTCTGAGCAGTACAACACACACAACTCAACTCATACAAGTGCTCTCTGTGACATATCACAAAAATCCCAGAATGTCCACGTGGGCCCTAAACAGCTGGCAAAAAAAATAGATGAGCAAAATGCAGAGAGTTTTTAATTTAGATACACTGGTTTGTTTTCCTTCTCTGGCTATCAGAAATTCCTACCCCAATGAAAAGGACTGAAGAACCTTCATCTCTTTAGGATAGTATGTTGAACTCACTAGCAGGCATTGCCTGCTTTTAGGAAAGAACTTTGTGTTTCTTGTCTACATTTTGGCAAACGGTTATGAGTATGAGAAGCAGGGCAAATTCTCAATATAAAGTCGCAACTGCTATTACCCCCAAAATGTAATTCTGCTCTTTCTGGAATTTTTGCCTTTCTTGCCCACTGTAAGTTATTCAAGATTTCCTGAAACGTGATCTTGATTTTAATCGTCCTAATTATAATCAAGATTCCCATTTCAAGGAATTCACCTTCTTGCTAGTGAAAAGCAAACAACTTTGCTAACCAGCACTGCTGAGATGTGGCTGTGCAGCACCCAGGACCTCATTACTGTATCTCTAAGTAACACTGGCTAACCATCATAGCTGGTTGATATTTCTACAACGGAAATACCAGTAATACTTAGTATTCTGTTATTTCCATCTGGTACTGCATGCATGGTTTGGATGTATGATCAATGCTACCTTTTGGATGTAAAGTAATTTCAGTTTTTCTCCAGGCCTAACAAAGGATTACTGTACAGCCAGAACTAAAAAAGCATTCCCCTGGAATGATGAAATTATTTGCATTTTATAGCCTTTTGCAGAATTTCACAGATTAACAAAAGATTTACGAGGACACATCCCTGGAAGAGGCTATAGCCACAACAAAAAGATATCCACCTCCCAATGCATGTTTAGCCTTTGAGGAGAAATACCCAGATATGCCATGACAGGTTGAACAGTAAAGAGAAAAAATTATACACACTCTGAGCACTTTCTCATCCAGGGATCTCAGAGCGCTTCGTAGCTCTGGACTTTGGAAACATTGATGATTTATCGATCTTCTCTGTCAAAAGAAGATAAGGACACCTATTTTGGACCCTATGTTACATGCTGCAACACAACAGAAAAAATGTGTCGCGATCTCTCTAGTCCTGTGCTGAACTCTATCATCTGTGTCACTTACAAAGAATCTTTTATCTGGGACAGACCATGTGGGAACCAACTGGCAAGTATAGTCCTGTAAAGGCTATGCATTTTTTGGAGATAATATATAATGTGATCACTACAATAGAATGACAGGGGTTTTAGTTAAAATAAGAGGATAAATAACAGGCAGAAAGATGATTGAGTTCACTACCGAATCCTGTGAGATGCTAAAGCCCCCAGCACTCCCACCATACAAACAGCTTTGCCACAAGGACTCAATTAGAAATTAGAACTTACAACACCCGTGTATATAACATCCTGTCCAAGAATCAGAATGTAGGTACAAACAAAGAATACAGACAGCTTATTTTTAAAGAGTGGACTACAATAGAGTGGCTCCTTAAGATTGAGAAGGAATTTGATTAGATTTTATAAATATATTGAAGGAAAGAAAACAAAGGTTAAGTAGGATATTATTAGCAAATAGGAATTCAGTGGTCAAGAATGTCTTAACATGGCGATAAGTAGGAGCTTTCTAAGCATCAGAATACTTCTTGTCCAAATGCCTTCCAGTTGGAGAAATACGTAATTACTGTAAAAGCAGCTGCATAATTTGGCATGGTTTCATGAAAGAATGTGTGTAACAAGTTGGAAGATAGAAGATCTTGTGTTTCCAGGTATGCTTGCAAGCAGGTGAGAGACTAGACATTGATAACAGATTGCTGCCATAAAGTAGCTGGTTTTGGAGGCAAGGATTTCATGCTTCCTCACCCTCTCTGCTCATTTTACTACAAGCATGTAGTGTTGAGGAACAGGAGACTTGCACTTTCTGCCTGTAGAAATTATGTGAGAAGGTGTGAAGGAGAATGGCAGTAGTTAAATACGGTTTATAGTCCTTCAAGCATGAATAGGCCAGATCACAATCTGTTCCTTGGAAATCAGTGTCACTGAAAAATTTCCGAGTCTCTATAAAGTAGCACATGCTCACTTTTAACCCTTTCAAGAACTTATCCTCAAAATTTCCTTGTGAAATCTATTTCCAATTAATCATCAAAACTAATTATTGAAATTAAGAAACAGGCACACAAATAATCTTTAATGCCTGAGACCATCATCGTTTGTATCATTGGATTCTTCTTTCTGATGTGATGCTGTTGCCACCAGCAGAGATGAAATGCAGAGTTACTGAGTTATACATACCAACTGTTAACCGTATTTCTTCCTCCTGGTTGGCCAAGCCATCATAATAATATAGATCAAATCTCCGCTCTGTTTTGCAGTCACCTAGTAAATCCTTTTCCAAACAAAAAAGCACACTGAAGTGGCTTTCACTGCACACCAGCCAAATTGGGTATCTAGGGGTCTTCAGGTAACAACCAACCTAAAAGAAAGATACAAAACATTAGAACATCACGGGAGGCAGGGAGGGAAACAATTCATTGTGGAAAACATGAGATGTATAAGATCATTTACTTATTATAGTTTACAAACATTAATGAAGGCTCATTATACACTGGTGATGAAGCAGACCAGGATAGCTCTGGTAAATCATGGAACATATAAAGCAAGTATCTGGCCTTGAGTTATAGGCAGGTAATGAAATCCCGCTGTAGTATCCTTACAGCAAAAAGTACATATCCCAACATGTGTTGATGATCACAACAAAAAGGAATCCTGCCCACTGCAATAGCTATAAAACCGCAGTGTGTTTAGGTCAAGAATACTACATGAGATCAATGGGAGACCGTGCTCTTATGCAACAGTACCTGGAAGCCAGGCAAGAGACTTCATAGGATCTCAGATGACATGGGACACCCCTGTGTGGTTAACTAAACTGAGCCCAAGTATCTTTTCTTAGATTAAGAATATAGTACTTTCCCTTCATTTTAGCATCTTGTTCTAGCTTCACAGTACAGATATGTAAAATATTTTCAGCTACTAAAAGAAAGCAATAACAGAAGCAAAATTGATTCATTATTCTTAAAAATGAAATATTCTTAGCTGAAAAAAACAATGATTTCTTTAACAGATGCCTTTTCTAAGCCTTTGTCCTCCTCTTGAAAGTTTGAAAGTATACTTATTTATAAATATCCTAAATATTCTGTATGAAATTGCATATAAATTATTCTCATACTCAAAATGCTTTAAACTACAATACTCAAGAACTTTAAACTAGAATTGATGGAGGAAGGGGATACCAACAGGATTGCATTTGGTAAGCCACGAGCTGGCATGGCATCACCTGAGGGTGGCAATACTAATGCAAATGTTTACGTCGCTCCTGGGAGCACAGAGGGCACAGGAGTGTATCTGAAGTGCTTGTACACCAACACACACAGTATGAGAAACAAACAGGATGAACTGGAAGCGTCGGTCAGCTCCCAGAGCTATGATATCATTGATATTAGTGAGACTTGGTGGAACGAGTCCCATGATGGGACTTCTGGGATGGAGGCTACAGGCTGTTCAGGAGGGATAGGCAGGGCAGGCGAGGTGGAGTTGTTGCACGTAAGGGAGAGGTTTGATTGCAGAGCCCTTATAGTTAGTGATGATGTGGTGGAGAGCCTCTGGGTAAGGATTAGGGGGATGGAAAACAAAGGAGATGTTGTAGTGGGTATCTACTTCTCATCACCTAGCCAGGATGTAAGCACTGATGAGTAATTCTATAGGCAATCAGGAGAAATTTCTGGAATGGTAGCCCTTGTCCTTATGGAAGATTTCAACTTCCCAGACATTAACTGGGAATATCATACTGCTGTGACAAGCAGGTCTTGGAAATTTTTGAGGTTTGTAGGAGATAACCGCTTGTCACAGGTACTCAGTGAGCCAACTAGGAAAGATGCCCCCCTAGGCTTGATGTCTGTGAATACAGAAGGACTTATGGGGTATGGGATGGTATGTGGCTGTCATGGCCACAGTGATCATGAAATGGTTGAGTTTAAAACTTTCAGTGTAATGAGAGAAAAGGACAGCAGAATTGCTACCCTGGACTTCAGGAGAGAAAACTTTAAGCTCTTCAGCTATTTAGCAGAATATCCTGGGAATCTGCTTTTGAGGGCTTACGGGTCCATGAGTGCTGGTCAGTCTTTAAGAACCACCTTTTAGAAAAACAGGAGCAGGCAATTCTACTGTGTCGTGAGCCAAACAACAGGCACAGAAGACCAGCTTGGCTGAACAGGGAACTCCTCGTGGAGTTCAAGAGGAAAAAGGAACTGTATGATCTCTGGAAGAAAGGTCAGGTTTTGCAGGAAGACTACAGAGCTGTGGTTCATTTATGTAGGGAGAAAGCACGAAAGGCCGAAGCTCAATTAGAGTTGAAACTGGCCAGAGATGTTTCAAATAACAAGAAGGGTTTTTTTAAGTATGTTAACAGCAAGAGGAAATCTAAAAAAAACATTGGACCGATACCTGTTGAAGATGGTCATCTGATTAATAGGGATGAAGAAAAAGCAGAGGAATTCAATGCATTTTTTTGCCTCAGTCTCTAATAATGCTGACAGACCTTGGGCTGCCTGGTACCCTGAGTCAGAGGACCACAAGTGTGGGAACAGTGACTTTCCGTTTGTGGACACTGAAATTGTAAGGGATCAGCAGTATCAGCTGAATGTCCACAAGTCCATGGGGCCTGATGGGATTCATCCCAGAGTTATGAAGGACCTAGTGGATGTTATGGCAGGACACCTCTCAATCACGCACCAGAGGTTTTGGGAGTCTGGAGACGTCCCTGGTGACTGGAAGCTAGCCAATGATCTACAAAGAGGGCATGACGGAAGACCCAGGGAACTACAGAGCTGTCAGTCTAACCTCAGTTCCTGGAAAAATTATGGAGAAGATTATACTGGGTGCTATTGAAAGGCACTTAAAGAATAATGCAATCATCAGGCACAGTCAACAAGTCCTGTTTAACTAATTCGATATCCTTCTATGATAAGGTCACCCAGCTAGTGGATCAAGGGAATATGGTGGATGTAGTTTTTCTGGATTTTAGTAAGGCTTTTGATACTGTCCCTTACAGCATCCTTCTGGAAAAGTTGTCCAACTGTGGGATGAGTGGGTTTACGGTGCACTGGGTGCAGAACTGGCTGAAGGGCAGAGCTCAAAGGGTTGTAGTGAATGGGGCTACATCTGGCTGGCAACTGGTCACCAGTGGTGTTCCTCATGGTTCAATTCTAGGGCCAGTTCTGTTCAATATACTTACTAATGATCTGCGTGCAGGAGTTGAATGCACCATTAGCAAGTTTGCTGATGATACCAAACTGGGAGGTGCTTGTTGACTCTGTTGAGGGACAGAAGGCCTGGCAGAGGGATCTAGATAGATTGGAGCATTGGGCTATGATTAACGGGATGAAATCTAACAAGTTGAAATGCTGAATTCTGCACCTAGGATGGAGTAATGCTGGGCACAAGTATGAACTGGGAGAGGAGTGGCTGGACCGCAGCCCTGAAGAAAGGGATCTGGGGGTGCTGGTCAGCAGCAGGCTCAACATGAGCCAGCAGTGTGCCCCGGCAGCCAAAAAAGCAAACCACATCCTGAGGTACATCCCACACAGTATAACCAGCCGGTCAAAAGAGGTGATTATGCCTGTATAATGTATTCGGCATTGGTGTGACTGGAGAATTGGAGTACGATGTGCACTTCTGGGACGCACGGTTTAAGAAGGATGTGAAGGTCTTTGAAGTCCAGAGTAAGGCAACAAAGCTGGTGAAAGGACCGGAAGGAATGTCCTATCAGGAGTGGCTGAGGACTCTGGTCTTGTCTAGTTTGGAGAAAAGGAGGTTGAGAGGTGACCTCATTGCTCTCTGCAGCTTCCTAAGGAGGGGACGTGGAGAGGGAGGTGCTGATCTCTTCTCCCTGGAGTCCAGGGATAGGACACGTGGGAATGGTTCAAAGCTGCACCAGGAGAGGTTTAGATGGGACATTAGGAAGCATTTTCTTACTGAGAGGATGGTCAAACACTGGAACGGGCTTCCCAGAGAGGTGGTCGACGCTCTAAATCTGTCAGTGTTTAAGAAGCATTTTGACAATGCCTTTAACAATATCATTTAACTTTTGGTCAGCCCTGAATTGGTCAGACAGTTGGACTAGATGATCATTGCAGGTCCTTTCCAACTGAAATAGTCTATTTTATTCTAGTCTACTTATTTGAAGCATTGTTCTTAAATCTACCAGCTATTTAAAATTTGGGCTACTACAGCAATTATTTGGATTTGTAAGTAATTGCTTTTATCTATATATGTACCCATTTATCAGTTTAATCAGGTTTTTTTGCTGCTTCACCCCACAGTCTTTAAGGTTCAAGTCCAGCAAAGGATTGAGGCTAGTTTTATGTCTATTTAGGCTTATATCTATTACTTCTCATGGAACTTATGTTTTAAGGCAGACATATATATGCTTCAATACCAGGGGGAGTGTATCTATGGTTTTGAAATGTAATACATGCTGATACAAAGAGTCTTGGAAGTTTCCTACATCCCCTGAGGTCAGTTAATCTCTTATACTTTCTTCTCCTCACACTAGTGTGTTCTGAGACAGATACCATCTTCTTACTGCGTGCTGCTGCTTTAAAGCTGCAGCATCAGTTAATGATATTAGACCCTTCAGTAGTAACTTCTCAGTAGTTCTGAGAGTAAAAATGGTGATTAGATTGCTTAATGTAGCAAAGAAACCTTGTTTCTTCCACCTAGGATTTTAATATTCAGCTACAACAGATATTTATTGTTAGCTATATTCCTGTCATTGAAAGCTGTTTTCTAAGTTCAGAATAATACTGTTTTGTCCCCCATTGAATTGTTGGGTTTTGTATCTTTAATAAATCGCTCAGGGAAACTAAAAAACAAAATAAAACTTTTTGCTTTTGGTGGAATGTTTCTGACTGCAGCTCTGCTTATTATTCTTATAGTAGACAGAATCACTACTGTGCAGGACGCTGGGTATAACCATATTTATTTTATTCCCAGTTCTATGTATCCTTTGCTAAACAGATATTGCCCTGCTGGTAGCTACCAATCTGCAAAACAAGGAATGGCAGGCAAGTGTGCAAATAGACATGCACAGAAATGTAAGATCAGTTTCTGTCTCTGTAATGCAGACACATGGACCAAAGGAACTTTGCTAGTTTAGAGTTTTGGGGAGTTTTGAAGACGTTTGCATAGTAATATGGTTAAGTGATATAATCTACAGAAATCATGTCTGCCTATTTCTACCTTTACCTTTGCCACTATGGGATCTAAATCATGCTTCAGCATATGCAGTGGGTGCTAGTGGAAACTGGAGGGCTTTTAACAGAAAAATTCTCCTACATGTTTTCTAGATAAAGATTCATGGATACAGCTTCCACAGTACAGCCCTCAGTTCCTCACCTTCGGCACACAGGTGCAAAT